ATGTTTAGAAAATCTTATAACTATTAACTGTATAACTTCTTCTTTTCCTAAGGCTTTCCTAAAAGCTTTTCCTACAGCTTTGGTTAAAGTAGATGCACATAAAGGAATACATTGCAGACATGCACAACACATAAGTCCTACAACCACTAAAAAATTTAGGCCAAGAAACATTTGTCTTAACCATTCAGTGTTGGGAAACAGATTAGTTAACCAACCCCAATCGCTCCACATATTTTCATACTTTTGTTCAGGAGCTTTAGCCACTTTCCTGATTCCTTCTGAATATCCATTCTGCTTCATGATTGTCATCTACCTTTAAATCCCGCAAACAAATTTTTACCTTTATTTCCCAGGCTGCTCTGGTGTGTTGTCTTCAGTAATATTAGAAGTAGAATCCACCCCTCATGATTATTACACAGTATTTCACACCCACAAATTGATCCACAATTTCAACAATAATAACAGCTACAGCAATCACAGTGACAGTAACAAAAGATATACATTTACCACCCAATTCTTACAATTTACAATTCTACGTTTTCAGTTTCTAATGGTATGACTTCTGCCTTAGTTATTCATTTTATTTGTAACAAACCACTTTTACTTCTCTGATGAGTCACCACCAACATCTTTGTTCTTCGTCTGGGGTCACCTGAAATTCTAATAGAGATATTCAAAATAGGTAGGGGTTCTGATCCACTACCCATTCAAGTCCTTTTAAACATGGCTTTCGGTCCTTGTCCTGGAATGACCGTCCACCCTCTTTCAGGTCCAGTCACCACCTTCTCTCATGTGTGGTGAGTCCAACCCTTCTCAGCCCTCCGGACAGCAGATTCAATATAAGAAACTTCCCTTCTTTGGTTGTAGAAGTTCCTCCTTCCATTTACGATTCAGCACCCACTGTCCCGGCTGGATCTTATGGACTGGAAATTCCAAAGGAGTTGTTTGCGCCACCAAGCCTTCCTGTCAAAGAGAAGACAGAGACCCCAGTACTTATTCTACATTTAGCTATTTGTCTCCCTCCTTTGGGAGCCTTAACCCTTTATTAACCCTTTTACATATCAAACATCCCTCTGTAGCCCTTTGGGCTATCCCATAAATTCCAAGGGTAGCATAGAATTTCAAATACATTTCTACCTATGCTTTAATTCCCCAATGATTCCCCTCATATAGTTTTTGGATCACCATTCTTGCAGTACCTTGTGATAACCACAGAATCCCCTTAAGACCATTTTTTGTTGTTTGGTAATTATAAATCTACTATAGCCTCAATCCTTTTACTATCTATTTTCCTTTCCCCTTCAACTATAATATATCCTAGATATTTTACCTCCTTTCATACCAATTGGGCTTTATTTGCTAGACACCCTCAATCCTTTCTTCTGCCAAAAAAATTGCTTTCCCAGTTCTGTATAATTCCCAGAATAAGATCTTACAAAACTGGGAAGCTACATAAAAATGTATTTGCTTCCACAGCTTAAAAGTGGAGGAAAGAAAAGAAAGAAAGAAAAAATCATTTGTCCTGTATCAGATAGACTATACTTGTCCATGGAAGCTCTATCAAAAATTGTCACATTTTTCTTTCTCCTCCCCCTTTCACCCTGATTAAATACCATGTTACAAAAATATAACTCAATAAACTTATTGTAAATAACACATTCAGGATTTTAAAAGGTAAAGCACATAGGCTCACCAATTAGCATTGGGCCAACATTTCTGGAATGCCTTTTGTCTCAGGCAGACATCAAACAGGACAGCTAAGAAGACAAAAGATTGTCTCCCCCTTCCCCCACTCACCAAACCAGACAGAGTAAAAATTTATACAAAACCTTTGCTTGAAACAGCCCTCAGGAGGAAAATTGCCATAACATTTACAGAAGTGGCTTGCCAAAACCTCCCTCCTAGGGCTGAACAAAAATAAACCAGCCCCAAAACACTCAGCCAACCCTCATGGCTAAAGCAGGATTTGAACTCAAATCCAGCCTTGCAGCCTGTGGCTATAACCCTGAAACCAAATTGGTTTTCTATAAAGATTTCCCTTCCCCTCCTTGGCTCCAAGGAAAAGGAAAACAAATTGAACACACACAGTATGCAGCAATTAATCATCTCTTTTGCAGCAGCGAGTAGTCCCAAAGACACATATTTATCAGATGTTAAATAAAACATCATAAGATTGTTCCTTTGACAAGAATACCCTCAAATGTATTATTAAGGATAAATCCAAACTAAAATGCAAAGGAAAATCACTGAAGCATGCCACACATACAAAAACAAAATATCAGAATTGGATGGGACATTAGAGGTCCTCTAGTCCAACCCCTTACTGAAACAAGAAACTCTATCCATTTCAGACCCTATCAATTTCTAACCTCCTCCCAAAAACCTCCAATAATGAAGCATCCACAGTTTCTGGAGACAATTATCCCACTGATTAATTATTCTTACAGTCAGGAAATTTTACCCAATTTCTGTTCTTTAACCCCCCCCCCCAAAAAAAGAAAACACAAACAAGCATGCAGACAGAAACTTTCTCCCCCCCTTTTTTTTCTTTCTTTCTTTGTTCTGCATCTCTTACTTTTCCAAGGCAGAAATTCTTGGGTTAAAAAAGTAACAAACTAAACATATTTAAAAGAATTGCTCAAAAAATTTACCCCCCTTCAGCAGCCCTTCCACCGTGGGCTTTAAACCCATTCTACCTTCCAATGTAATGTTATATACTGTTTCTGGTGAATTACTTCACCAGGGTTCTTTAAAGTCACCTTTAAATGATCCATGTGTACCCCTCTTCTATTGCCCTCTTGGGCCCATATAAGAGGGTCCACTTTTCCTTGAGCTTCCTCACTCAAGGTCATAATATTTACAATTATTTCTCTTTCATTCCCCATAATAACAATCCCCAATTTACCAATTAAGTACCTCCTGGCCAAATTGCAGCTCCCTTCTACCAAAATATAATCCAGGCCCTTTTGCTACTGTCTGGACCATAGCAGATTTAAATATTGTTGCTTCTACTACATGTCCCCAATTCCCTGATCCTTAATCTTCCCTTTCCCAATTTGCATTCCTGGAGGTATATAGTTCAGGGTAAATTTGATGGCTCCGGAATCCACCGAGTACACCCTTTCCTCCTCCAGGGATCCAACCTTTAAGGTTTATCAGGGGTTCCTAAAAAGCTGGACCAGAAAACAGATTAGTCCCCTGACACCCCTAATCCTCAAAATTCACCAAATTTGCTAGTTCTTCCCCCTCCTTCCTCTTAGGGCACTCATTTTCCCAGTGTCCTTCCTCCTTACAAAAGGCACATTTATTTATTTGTTTGTTTGTTTGTTTGTTTGTTTGTTTGTTTATTTATGGACTGGGGAAAATTTTTCTCCTAGGGATTTATATCCCCTGGTGCCAACTGGCTGTCCTCACCCCCAACCTAGACCTCTCCCAAGACCCTTTACTGGTGTGGGAAGTTAACCCAGAGAAGGAAATATTAAAAAGGCAGGAAAAAAATATTGTTCACCAAAAGGATTTTTAAAAGCATTTTTTTGAAAAGCAGAAACCAAACCTGGCCTCATCTCCTTGCCCAGGGCAGTAGCTGGTCTTATACATATGCAGATGTGGAACCATCAGAAAGTTTGGAGCCAGGGATCTCAAGACA